ACAACTGGGCTGAGTGACAATCGGCATGGATCTCAGCAGCCCAGGGCTCAAGTGGCCACATCCGATGACTTCACCCTTTCTGCAGAGAGCTTGCCTCCCTTGGGTTTCCATGTGCGTGTGTGTCTACAGGACGACAGACCTCACCGGGCTGGGCATGAATAGGGGCTGAGTTTGCAGGACAGGCAAGAATGGGGTCAGCCCCCAGCACTGTCTCATCAGGTGCGGGTTATATGTGACTACACTTGCCAAGACAGAAGGTTGTGTCCAAGGACGGGAGAAAGCACAGAAACGGCCATGGAGGCCCCGCCCCCGTGGCAGGGGAGGGCACAGGCAAGCCTAGAAGAACCACGCCTGGTACCCAGGACTTCCTACCACGTGTCTGTGCCCCTCCCTTCTTGGCCCTAGGGATCTGCCCATCCTAATCCATCACCACTGACCTGCAGAGTTCTGTCTGGTCGCCAAACTCCATGACCGTATTGAGATTCCCACTGGTCAGAAGAAGAGATTGAGGTTCAGAGAGGCCATGTGCCAGGGCCGGGGTGGCCCAGGCTGGGCTGGTTTCAGGGTTACCATCCTGGAACCAGGGTTATCAGGTCCCTCTTAGAGCCACAGTCAAAGGCCTGTGCCTGGGTGACTGTGGGTGCAGTGGGGAGGGCCCCTTCTCGAGGCAGGGTTGCAACCTCTCCCAGGAGGGGGGACCCAAGTGGACCTGGAAAGGGTTGAACGGGTGACCACCCCCCACTCTGCCACCTGTCCTCACTGCCGGGTGGGGGCTCGGGAGCCTGGTGCCCACCCCCCAGACCAGCTGATGTCCTGTCCAAGAATGTGCACTGCCCACCCCACCCCCAACCACAACCACACCCCGACTCTGGGGCAGCCCAGAGAAGCTGTCTCTGCCCCTCCAGGCCTTCCCTGGACCCAGCACTGCCTGGCTGCCGTGGAGCCTCGGTCTCCTGGGCTGTAAGATGGACTGATCAGTTTAGCTTCTCAGAGATGCTGGGAACATTTAGTTCTAGCATCAAAGCTCCAGGCGTCCTGACCCCAGCACCTGGTTCCCCGCTGTGAGCTCAGGGCCTGCTCCCGTCCTAAACTCTCACCTGTCCTGGACGGGACCGACTAATGAAGGCACACAGCCCAGGCATCCAGGTGCCCTGATGTCCGGGCTTTCAGACCTGCACACCCTGCCTGCCAGAATCTGCCCCTTCGCAGAACCCAGCCCTGCCTCCCTCCGCACTGGCCAGGGCCCCCTGGAACCTACAAGACCAGCCACGGGAAGGAATTGCAGAACCTCGGCGATCCAGCTCCCCGGCCTCTGGCCCCAAAGCCAGACACCACATTGGGCGTGTGGAATGGGCCAGGCCCCCGCTCTGCCCACAGCTGAATACTCACGCCCGCCACCCTGGAATTCATTCAGTGGCTCTGCTGGGCAGCCAGACTTTCTGATACCCAGTCCAGGTGCTCACCCCCACAAACCCCAGTCACACTGCTTTCTCCCCAGGGCGCAGGGCTCAGGACCCAGCCCCTGCACCCAGGCTGACCCACCCCAGCAGTGCAAGAGAAAGCCCTGCACACAGGAAGCCGTGCACCGACTGCCAAGGGCATTAAGATGAAGACTGAACGTGCTAATTAAAGCACGTTTTACTGAATTTTAAAATGGTGAAATGCATTCAGCTCACTGCTTTTGATTTGCTACTTCCAGACTCAGTCTAAGGTTGTCGGCCTCCCCCTTTCACGGTGCAGGCACAGGGTCTGTTGGCCCCTGCTCAGGCTTGGGCTGACTGATGGCAGTGACCTCGTGACTTGCTCGAGGTCACCCGCTGCTCAGCGATGTGGCCCGCAGACCCCCAGGCTCTGAGAAGGGGATGTGGTTCACCCGCTCCCAGGGGCCGCCTGCAGGAGGCTTCACCTGGACGGCAGGCTCGGAGCGGCGAGGAGGCCCTGGGTGTGAGAGACGCCTCGTGCGCTCAGAGACCCCAGGCTGCAGGGACAAGTCTTCTTTCAGCCCTCATCCCCTCCTTCTGTGACAGGGTCACGTCCATTTTTCAGGCAGAGCTCTGCGACCAGTGGGCACAGGGCCACCTGGAGGGCTTGTTAGAATCCCAGCCCGCCCAGCAGCTTCAGGGCCGCCCAGGTTCAGAAACCGCTGCTGGTGCAGGGATCCGCTTTGAGAACCACAGCTGCAGGTCGTTGTCATGGTCAAACCACCAGTGGGGAGGGCGTTGTAGACCGAGAGCTGCCAGGGCACATCCACGTGGGTGCGGGGGGTCAGAGAGAGAGGGCAGGGACGATCACGAGAAGTCTGCAAGGCCCGGCCATCAACTGACTGTCACCACGAAGTCATCAGCCCTGGCCAGGAGCACCCCAGTTTCCTCTCTCTGCCCTTGGGGTGGGGTGGGGGTCACCTTCCTAAGTCTGGTCCTGAGAAACACCTGGAAAGCAGGACCAGCCTCCCTTCCAGGTCCTGGACGCTGCCTCCTTTCCTCCCTGCCTCCAAGTCCTCAAGTCGCCCCTCCCTGATCCGAACGTGCTCCCGGGGGCTTCATCCTGACGCCGCTTCCTCTTTTCTCTCTCCCAGCCAGAAAACGTTCCACTTCCTCAGACCTGCCTAACCCAGCACAGCGACAGAAAATCAACAGGCTCCTCCGCTAATTCATACTCAGGAGTAAATGGCTGATGGGACCTGCCAGACCCGCTCATTAGCCACAACGCCCCTCTAACTGGTAGAGCATTGAAATAAAGCCAAAGCCGAGTCCTGGGCCCCACCTGCATGTGGAATCACCTGGAGGTTTTTACAACACACCTGTAGAGGCCCACCCAGACTGTGTCCAAACGGGGAGGCGGGGGGTGGCCCTGGATCAGTCGTTTTAAAACCTCCGCAGGAACTGAGGACGAGCCAGGCTGAGAACCGCTAAGTTAGCGGAGGGGTTTATGCCGCGATGGTGAGGGGAGCTTGTGGAGCATCTCTTCTCGTGGTAATTTCCAGGACTTTCTCAGCTTTGAGCTCTGTCATCACAGCACCTCTGATCATCACCACATTCATTCATTCATTCGTTTGCTCATTCATTCCTTCCACAGAATTTACGGAGCACCTGTGTGGAGCCAGGCTCTGCCCAAGGCCCCGGAGGAGCAGCAGTGAATAGGACAGACCCCACCACTGTGCCCACGGGGCTCACTTCTGGTCAGGTTGAGGGGCTGAGCTGTCAGAGCGCCAGGTGTGGTCAAGGCCGCTGGGAGGGTGCTGCCTAGCTGGACGCTCAGGGAAGGCCCTCCAGCAAGAGAGCACGGGGCCCAAGTGGAGGGAGCCATTCACAAGGGCCCTCCAGCCAGAGGGACTGAGCGTGCAAAGGTCCTGGGGCAGAAGCCTGCAAGAGGCAGGGTGCCTGGGGCAGAGTGCGACTGGTCAGGAAGGAAGTAAGACCTCGTAGGCCCTAGAGCAGACTTTCTTCCTCCTCAGAGGGCGCTGGGCCCACTCACGTCCAGCAGGACTGGACGGCTCCTTAAACAACACTCTCCCGGGGTTTGCCTCTGTCCAGGGACTCTTCCAGGACTCGGCCCTGTCCTGGGACATCAGCGCCTGCGTGGATGTGAGTTTTGACAGTGAGGGGATGCCGGCCCATCTGGAGAGCAAGTGTCACTTCCTGGCGCCACAGGGGTGCCCATGGTTCCTCAGAGCATTTCCAGCGGGCTGGGGACACTTCTTGTCTGGCAGGGGTCGCTCCGGCCACTGGGTGGAAACTGGGCACTGGGAGGGCCAGGGCAACAGAGGCCCCATGAGGTCAGTGTCAGCGTCCACTTGACAGATTCAGAAACTGAGGCAAGAAGCCCAAAACCCCAGCTTGTGACTCCACCCAGACCTGCTGGCCCCAGAGGCAGGCACCCAGCCCCGCCCCCACATCCTCACTGCGGGAGACCCGGCCCCACCTCGCCCCGCACGAGGGCCCGTGGCTCAGACTGACCCAGCGTCTAGCCACCCACAGTCCCCAGAGGCCCCAGGCGAGGGGCCCCATGTCGGCTGCTGGTCAAGGGGCCCTGCGTCCCCTCACCAGCATCCCCACCCACCGGGCACGGAGCTCAGCCGTGGTGCCCCTTGCAGGAGGGGCTGAGGGGGGAAGAGGATGTCGCAGTGAGTGGGCGTCCAGGCAGGAAATGTGGGTGCTGTGCTGTGGCCACTGTCCTCCCAGGTCAGGAGGGCCACAAGGAACCACTCTTTCTGGCGGCTCCCCTCTGGGGATTCCCTCAGGGATGGGGGAGCAGGCAGAGGAGTTTCTGGGTGAAGCCCCCAGCCCTTTCTTAGTCAAGGATTTCCCAGCTGGCAGTTTTGGGGGGCCTGGGCCAATTCCCTCTCCGAAGCCAGGCCCCCACCGGCCGCCGCCACTGGGAGGGCCCCTGGGGATTCCTCTCCCCGCCTGAGGCTGCGGTCGCCCAGCTGCTCAGAGGAGAAAAGGCCGGGCCTCAGGAGGAGTGAGGCCCCGGGGGGCAGCAAGGGCCCTGAAGACCCCCAGGAACCAGGAGGGGAGGGGTGGCCAAGAGCCCACTGGGGGCCCAGACCTGGGCTCAAAATCCCCCTTGCTTCTCAGCAGCCAGACGTGACCTAGAAAGTTCCTTGTCCTCTCCAAACCTCAACTGGTGCCTAAAGTGGGGCTGGCAGGAGGACCTGCCCCCCCCCACGCCGGCTGGGACCTGGAGGACGGGGTGGGGGTGGGGGCGTTTGAAGAGCTGGCCTTGCTGGGGTGGCGCCAGGAGCACGGTCAGCCTGGAACTCCCGTGTCCCCAGAATCCTCCCGGCCCTGCCCCACCCCCACCTCCCACGGGAGGGTCACCGATGGGCGCGGAGGGGAGCCATTCCGGGCCTCACATCAGGGTGCACGTGAGCCCCATCCCAGGCTGTCCCCATAGACGCCCCTCATCCTCTTCCCCACTGTGTGTCTGAGAAAACAGGCACCGGGCGGCTGGGGGCTGGGGACGAGGAGGGGGCCGCCTGCAGCCCTAACATCGCAGGCCTAATCGGCGACTCCACTGCCGCACGTCCGGGAGCCGGGCACAAAGGCGGCTGGCATCTCCCACCTGCTGGGTGGGAACCTCATTCCTGGAAGGTGCCCGGCTGCAGTGAGGAAGGGCTGCTCCAGGAAGCAGAGCCTGGATCGAGGACAAGCAGCCCACACTCAGGAGTGTGAGCCCAGGGCAGCGAGAGCGAGGAAGGAGCGGAGGCAGGAGAGGGCGCCGGGCCAGCGGACGCAGCGCACCCCCCGGAGCAGGCTCTGCGCGGCTTCTGCGGGGGCGGCCCCCGGACGGGGAGGGGGCAGAACCCACCCCACCCCCGCCCATCAAGGCTTGCCCGTGAGGCCCACCCCCCAGCCTCACTGCTCCTGTGAGCCTCTCGGAAGGCAGACCCCCCCCCCCCCGCCGGGTTGGCCTCTGGCCTGAGTCAGGCCCAAGCGGTGTGACACAAGACAGGACAAAGGAAGCGGCGGGGGGGCCGTGTGGACATGGCTGGCTCCGTGGCAGCCTGGGTCCATTC